TTGCATACAATGGAAAAATAAACCCCAAAAAAAAAAAAAAAAAAAAAAAAAAAAAAAATCTATCTATCCATCGATCAATTGATAGATATATCTATATATATCTTTATTGATCGTTTTGCAGCTACTGGTTAAGAAACAAATATCAGGTGGGCACATGCCTGTAATCCCAGCACTTGGGAGGCTGAGGTAGGAGGATTGCTCCGAGTTTGAGACCAGCCTGAACTACACAGCAAGACCATGTCTCAAAAAAGAAAAAAAAAGAACAGAAACAAGTATCACATTGCTTGCCATCTATATATATCTTTATTGATCGTTTTGCAGCTACTGGTTAAGAAACAAATATCAGGTGGGCACATGCCTGTAATCCCAGCACTTGGGAGGCTGAGGTAGGAGGATTGCTCCGAGTTTGAGACCAGCCTGAACTACACAGCAAGACCATGTCTCAAAAAAGAAAAAAAAAGAACAGAAACAAGTATCACATTGCTTGCCTAGTTTACGAGGCTTTAATAAGAGCCTTAAATTTTGAGAAAAAAGCCAACTAAATGTCCCGTCTCTTGGTCCACAGGTGGAACTCTGATAAGAACTGCTCTAATTGTACTGTGAAGAATACATCACATAGCCCCAGTTATTAACACAGGAGCTAATAGAAAGAACAGGTTTTAGAGTGACAGATCTGTCACTCATTCACGAAAGTTTTAGTGAGTGCCTACTATATTATGCCAGGCTTTGTTCCAGTTACTAAGAGTGCCTTAGTAAATTTTAAGTAAAAGCTTCCTATCTTGGGCCAGGTATTTAGCTCAGTGGTGCCGCTGTCTGCCTCGAAAGTGCAAGAACCCGAGTTCAATCCCCAGTACCAAAAAAAAAAAACAGAACATAGAACATAAACCAATATAACCTTTTGACAACTTAAGTCATATTAATCATAATTATAACTGTACATCCCCCTTTGACCTCATGAAATTATTTTTATGAATTCATCAAAGAGTGGAATCAGAAAAGTATACAGCATGTATGCTTGTACCAGAGTAGTCATAGTATTTTTATAATACCAAAAACTTGGAGATAATCTAAATAGGTAAATTGTTATAATTCCACACAATGGACTACTATGCAACTATTGAATGTAGACCACTGTAGAAATGATGAGATAGCTACAACTTAAGTGTTTGAGTAGTTTATTTATAAAAAAGTTGTTATACGGGCTGGGCGTGGTGGTGCACACCTGTAATCCCAGCATTCAGGAGGCTGAGGCAGGAGGATCACTGTGAGTTTGAGACCAGCCTGGGCTACACAGTGAGCTCCAGGTCAGCCTCAACTACATAAGGAGACCGTCTCAAAAAAAAAAAAAAGTTGTAATATGTTTGTGTGATACACAAATTAGACTCTAGAGAGAAATATGGGAAAGAATTGTGAAGATGTTCATGTTACATGACTTTTGTTTTTGTAGTACAGTACTGGGGATTGAAACCAGGGCTTTGCCACTGAGCTACATCCCAACCTCTTTTATTTATTGATTGGCTGGTTTTTTGGGGACAGAGCCTTGCTATGTCGTCCAAACTGGCCTTGAACTCATTATGGACCCCAGGCTGGCCTCGAATCAGCAGCAATCCTCCCATGCTGGGATTACAGGTGTGTGAGCTACTACACCAGCCCTTTATTTTACTTTTTGAGATTGGGTCTAATTCGCTAAATTGCTCAGGCTGGGCTCAAACTTGTGATCCTCCTGCCATGGCAATTTTTAAATAAGCATTCCTCTACTCAGTCATCCAACATTCACCCAATATTCTGCAATATTTATTAACCACAGGCCTTATGCTAGATGCTGGGTAAGCAAAATAAACTCTTCACTCGGTTTATTTAGCTCACTAAAGTAAAAGTACTTTTTAAAAATGACAATAATCTGTGTTGGTGAGCTCAAAGAGAAGGACAATCTCATATATTATTGAGAGTATAAATTGAATTGAAAGCCTTACAGTGGCCACGTCATTTGAACCTACAGTTCCATTTTAGATATTTGTTCTTTAAAAAGGCATGGATGTACATAAAAATATAAAGTCGTACATAAAAAACTGTTGGGTGGGTACATAAATATTAAACAATAGAGATCTGGGTAAATATATGTTCATAATGCAGAGTATTAGGAGAGTGGTGGAAAATATTTAATACGCAAAAGTGTTCAAAACAGATACATGAAAGGGTTTTTAGAGGTTCTAATTTGCTGTGAATTTAAGTAAATCACAAATAATTTGAGCCTGTTACTTTTCCTGCAGAGCGCAGCTTTTTAAAAACACTTACTTTCTTAAATGTGGGTACTCATCCGTTCCTTTTTATTCGAAAATTAGCAATCGGTAGATGTTAAATTGGGAGCTGTATGAAGAGCTGTCTTAAACTATTTCATCTGAGGACTTACCAAAAGAGTCTCTCAAAAAGGAAAAGATACATAATTTATTTTAAAAATGTCTTTTTTCCCTCCCTCAGGTATTGTGCTCGGATCTGAGGGCACAGAAAGTCATGAGCACCCTCATGAAATTGAAAGTCTAGCGGAATAAACCAAGGAATCATAATAAAACTGAATGATCAATGACAACAGAATCTTGAAAAAGATGTACAGGCACTGAGGAAAAGGATTCCAAAGTTAAAAGAAAAGCACGTACACAAACAAGATACTCAAGAAAGGGTATATTTGACAAACACAAACGGACCACTGTTGTGTGGGCTTTTCTGTGACCTACTTCTTCTCGGTCGCACAATTCCCCAAATCTCTGTAGACAGTGAATAAGAGGTTGAGCGGCACGTTCAGAAATCCCGGTGTCGCTGGTGTCGAGGCCATCTATCCACCGGGATGAGAAACTGGCGCGAATGAGGAATTTCGCTGAGGATCCAAGAAGGGAAACACAACAGAACAACTACTATTACAGCACAGACGCCGCTCCAAACCCAGGTTTTCCCGCCAGTCTCAGTTTTTCTACCTTCCAAGGCCCCGCCCACGCCCGTGAGGTGCGCTGGGAGTTTTGAGGGAGGGAGGGCGCGGAAAACATCGATATATCTGGAATGGACTGCACTACCCTGCGCCGCCACGGTCAAAGTCACGCAGACCGCTCTGTCGATCGCCGAGCGGAAGTTTCGGCAGTTCTGCTGGATTCGCCGTTTTGCTGTAGCCTCGTATCTTGGTCCGGCCTGAACGATGGTGGGTTGAGTCCCGATCCTAAGAAGGTTTAGGGCCGAGGTCCGGTGACTAGGGGATGGTGGTCTGTCTCTCTCGTTACCCTCAGCGTGGTCCAGGACCAACGGGCATAGGAACCTCAGCCTAACAGAAGGCTCAGGCCGTGATTCAGCATCTCCGGCCTTGCCTGAGAAGTGGCTGTCGGTAGTCGGTGGGGCCTTTTCCACCCGGCTTATTTCACTTTCTACGGGGCCTCTGCAAACATTCCTTGGTCATATCATCGAGTTTGGAGTACCTTCCAAGCATTCTTGAAAGGCTTCTCTTGCTATCTTTGGGAGAGAAGAGAATAGGCACCTAACTCGGAGGCCTCCCAGCACCGTACGTGCGGATTTGACTACGATTTGGGATCTTGGATCACATCCATTTTCCTAGTGTGCTCTTCTCATTTATGTCTCCTAAATTCCTTCAGAAAGGGCTCTTTTCACTTACTTTGCCCAGTCACTTAATTACAGATGAGTATACCTAGGCTGAGGGAAGAAGGGCCCTGGGCTTCCATTGAGTCTAACACTCCAGCACTCGCTCGACAGTCTCTCCCCATAATGATTCTTCAAGTACTGACTGACTTACTTTAATAATGTTATTATAGGTGTTACTCATGGTTTTATCGCAGTAGCTATTTGTATCCACCTTTAACTTCCTGAGGATTTCTTTTTTAGTTTATTCATTCAATATATTTATTGATACAAAGCACTTTCACAAGGCACAAGTACAGTTTGAGTAGAAAGATACATCATACATGTAGTTAATCATTAAGAATAGAAAGATGTGTAAAGAACTGTGATAGTACATGTTGAAACTATGGGAGAAAAAAATGAAGAAGACGTCAAGAGATCTGAACTAATTTCAAGAAAAGAAAAGGGCCAGGGATTTAGCTCAGTGGTACTGCCACCTGCCTCACAAACACAAGGTCCCGAGTTCGATCGCTGGTACCAAAAAAAAAGGAAAGAAACGGCTTTTGACCACTTATCAGGGCCTTTTAGAAGAGAACAGCATAAGCAGAGATAGGAGGAAAAATTAATGAATATGAACATTAGCAATGATCTGCCCAAAAGGAATTCAGTGGAGAGTGGCAGGGTAAGAAGTTGGGAAGATCAGACCCATCTAATCAGCTTCTGCCTCCCTGATAAGCTCGTGGTAAAATTAGCTTGCAGTATTGAGTGTAGTAACACTATTCCATTGAGAATGCATCAACAAAATTTCTTTAATTTTGAATGGAAACACATGCAAGCACATTTCTTAATATTGAGTTGGGATTTATAATGTTCTCATTAAGTCTTGTCTTTTACTTCCAGTTTCGCAACCAATATGACAATGATGTCACCGTTTGGAGCCCACAGGTAAAAATTAATGTTTCTGTGAAGTGGTTTTTAATAGCTGCCACAGGTTTAGAAACTTGTGAGACTGTGACCTGGGGGGGGTGTTATAATCATTTTAAACACAACTATAACAAATTTATAATTAAAATGTTTCCTGATTTTAAAAATATCATTTGAGATTTATACTTGAGATTTGGGAAATCGAATTTTTAATTTATAAAAGAATCTTCTAGATCACTCCAAAATGCGTTATTTTTTTCTCTTTAGGGCAGAATTCATCAAATTGAATATGCAATGGAAGCTGTTAAACAAGGTTCTGCCACAGTTGGTCTAAAATCAAAAACCCATGCAGTGTTGGTTGCATTGAAGGTAAGAAAAACGATAAATGCATCTTCCTCCTCTAGAAAACAGAACTACCAAATGTGAATTTCACTGTGTAAACAATAAAGTTGGAAACTTATTCCTACATTTACATTGTCTCTATTTAGAGGGCACAGTCAGAGCTTGCAGCTCACCAGAAAAAAATTCTCCATGTTGACAACCATATTGGTATCTCTATTGCCGGACTTACTGCTGATGCTAGACTCTTATGGTAAGTGTGATCACGAAAAACAAAAGAAACATCCCCTTTCGTTCATATTTGATTACTTTTCTACAGAAGATCCAGATATTTTAAGAAGTTGTTCCCCAGAATATTTTGAGAATACCTTGGTGGATCAGTTAGTATTCCATTTCTTGGTTCTTGTGATAGTAACTAATAGAGTTAAACACATTAATATTAACACTTTTGAGAAGTCACTGAATAGTATACTTTTTGATGCAGTATAGTCTTTGAAGCCCTGTATGTCTAAGGTGTTGATACTTTTGTCTAACATTTAAGTATGAGCCAAACTACCTTTCATTCTTCAGTATTTACTAGACATTTATTTTTTGCAAAGCTCAATAGTGGATAAGGTAGGATATAGAGAGTTGATTCAGACATGAATCTGGTCTTTAAGGAGCTTAAAATCTAATTTATCTATAATACAAGATAGGAATTAAAACTAACAAGTAAATTTCTGTGAACATCCAGAGGAAATAGAGCATATTTCTGGTTGAGAAACAATATGTAAATGAAACAGGTCTTTGAAATCACACAGATTGAATTCTTACTTCGCTACTTAATATCTGAGATTGGGATAATTACTTAATCACTCAATTTTTATTTTCTTTTTGAAGGTTATTGATAAATAGCCTAACATGTGGGGCATTTAATACTGTCTTTCAGGTAGTGTGTGGTATGTGCTGAGGATAGGCGATAGTTCGCCAAAGCTAACTTGTTGAGTTCTTGATGTCATTAGAGAAGAAAGAATATGAATAGTGAGAACAAATGCTAATGCCATTGTTCAGGATTTTCAAGTTATATGGCCAATCCCATGCTCTTTTAAATCAATGGTATATTAAAACCATTATGGGTTTCAGCCTGCTCCTAAAAATGTGCAATGTGTTATATTATCATTTAACCCGGTTGCCTAAGATATGGTTATACTAACATATGGTTCATATTAAGAACTTTATCAATGAGATATAGTACATGTTTTTGGTACTAACTCATTGAAATTTGGTGTATATTTTGTGCTTACAATGCGTTTCAGTTTAGATAACTTTTTAATGGCTCAATACCCTCATGTGATTTGTGGGTGCATATTGGACACTTCAGTTTTAGACACCTTTTTGGACTTGATTTAAAAGTGCTGAAAAGATAGCTTGGTTCCTGTTGTCAATATTTTATCATCAGGTACTGGGTGTGTACCTCTGTAATAAATCTCTTGCCTAGCGTGCACAGGGCCCTGTGTTCAACCCCAGCACCACACACACCAAAAAAGATCAGATCGTCAGCTGTGATAGATACTAGACAAAGCATCATGAGAAGAAAAGGGCTATCTCTTGTAGTTTATCCTCTAATAAGCATGAATCCCCTTTTCCTTACCCAATGTTAATTTTGTTCAAATCTTTTCAGGTTTAATAGTGAAACTGAGCAATCTATTGTCTGGTATCTCCTGTAGAATGCTGCTTATAAAGAAAAGTAACATTGGCAGTAACATGTAAAGATGTCCTCTGCTTTGGATTCTATTATTTGCAATTGCTATATTGAGGGAATTTTAATCTGTTTTCAAGATAAAAAAGCAAAGTATTAGGTTCTTCCTGGTTCAAGACCTAAAAATTAAGACAAATTATTGTTGAAAGTGGAAATGATGAGAGATTGTCCTTTTTTCTTTGCTCAGTTTTCTCTTCTCAAGTGTTCTGAGACAGATGTTTCTAGAGCTAAGAGATAGTTTTATTTTTTATTTTGAGATAGGGTATCTATAAGTTATCCCGCCTGGCCTTGAACTTGTGATTCTCCTGCCTCAGCCTCCTGAGTAGCTGGGATTATAGGCATGCACCACTGTGCCTATCAGTTTATTTATTTTTAAAATCTCATGTGGGGGCTGAGGATGTAGCTCAGCGGCGCAGCACCTGCCTGGCAAGCACAAGGTCCTGAGTTGGATCCCCGTTACCCAGGGAAAAAAACAAAACCTCATGTGGATGTCTGGGTGTGGTGATACACATCTGTAATTCCAGCACTCAGGAGGCAGAGGCAACTGGGTCCCTGGAAGCTAAGGGCAGCCTGGGCAATAACTGAACTACATGAGTCTTTGTCTCAAAACTTTAAAAAAAAAAACTAAAAGGGGCGGGGTTGTATTTCCATGCAAAGGCCCTGGGTTCAATTCCCAGTATGACCAAAACAACCAAACGAACCTCACTTGGCCCCAGAGTTTAAAACATAAAAAAATGTATCCTTGTGGCCTTTTCTTTCTTACCCATCTGATTTCCTTCTATGGTGTAATTCATGAAAATATTTAGAAGGAAGCAAAGTAAAATCAGACTGCTTTGTTTAGGTTGGATTAGTACTCTGTAATTTAAATTACTAATTTTTCTTGTTCTTTTTTAGTAATTTTATGCGACAGGAGTGTTTGGATTCCAGATTTGTATTTGACAGACCACTTCCCGTGTCTCGTCTTGTATCTCTAATTGGAAGCAGTATCCTTTTTATGTTAGCATTTATGAATGTGAACACTAAAGAATGTGTAATTTGGTGCTTAATTTCTGTATCATAATACCGGGCTGGAGATTTAGCTGAAAGTCCCAAGTTCAATACCCGGTACAAAAAAAAAAACGAGAACCAAGACCTGTCATGTAGAGGTACAAGATCCTGACAATGAATGTAACTGTACTGTATCCCTAAAATGTACCAATAAACTCAATTAAAAAGAAAAAAAAAGTGTAACAATACATATTATAGCTATAGCTGTAAAAACTTTAAGGCATTATGTTGCTCTTTTATTAGCTCCCAATTTTAACAGAATTGTCCAGGTATCATTGATAGAGGGTGTTTAACTTTTCTTTTTGGTTCTAGATATCCCAGAGAATCTTGGTCCACTTCTATTCAAAACAAAAGAGCTTCTACATGGAAGAGATTATTTTGTTTATTGGTGCTCATTTTGGGGTTTGGTGCAAAATCAAACAGTTTGTAATGTTAAGCTAAAAAACTGTCCTATTTTATTATTTTCTTCCTGTGCATTATGCAACAATTAAGAAAGAGGCTAGAGGTGCTTTTTAATATTGTTTAATTTGAAAATAATGATGACACTTTATTCCTTGTTAGAGCAAACTCTTTAACTAATTTAGAGACCCAGATACCGACACAGCGGTATGGCCGGAGACCATATGGTGTTGGGCTGCTTATTGCTGGTTACGACGTAAGTTCATGAAGTGCTGTTATATGTTAGTGATTTTTAAAGCCAACAAGATGTTTTTGTGATTTTATTTTTAGCTCAGCCAAAATCAAGAATTATGTGGTGTACTTATTTCCATTTGTAGGATATGGGCCCTCACATTTTCCAGACCTGTCCATCTGCTAACTATTTTGACTGCAGAGCTATGTCTATTGGAGCCCGTTCTCAATCAGCTCGTACTTACTTGGAGAGACATATGTCTGAATTTATGGAGTGTAAGTGATGGCTTTGCATGGTTTAGTTTGGTTTTGCCTCCTTTGGTCTTCGTACAGTAAATAAATGTAGCATCCTAAATGAGGAAAACTCAGCAGATTAGGAGTTTTTTAAAAAGTTAAGCCCTCGAGATATTTATTGTTTCTGGCACACATACTATTTTTATTCCTTCTGGTTACCACAGTAGTTTTAATCACCAACAGAACTTTTTCATAACATACATGTATCTCCAAACCTTTATAGTTCTTCATTCATTTACTTTGAACAATGTCCCAGGTAGAATTGATGACAACTGTACCATTTGCCATTTGTAAGTTGTGTTTACAACTTTTAGTTTTCTGTGATTCTATTCCAGTTTTAAACCACAGATACATTTCTTCATTAAGTCCTTAAATACCAAATAGGAGGCAATGAAGTCATGGCAAGGAAAGATAAGAGATTTAAAATGATAAGGCAGGGTGGGGATTCAGCTCAGTGGTTCCACTGCCTGCCTCACAAGCGCAAGGATCCAAGTTCGATCCCCAGTACCCACCCCCCAAAATGATAAAGCAGGTTTTTAACTGCTTTTCTTCAGTTTGGAAAGAGAGTTAGGATCAAGGCTTTAACATTTCTCATAGTTGTCTTACAAGTTTTCATGTGATAATACAGTATTCTGTGGAGGAAATATTTGAATCTCATTGAATTCAGAGAAAAACAATTAACATTACTCAAAGTAAACTGTGTATGCGATGATAATAGGTTCGACTTTGGGGAAAGTGGGTTCTAGCTCGATGTAGTCGTACACACCTGTACTTCCCAGAACTGTGGGAGGCTGAGGCAAGATCACAGTTTGAGCTCAGCCTGAGTATCTTAGTTACTTTTCTCACTGCTGAGACAAAATACCTGACACCCAAAGTTAAAGGAGGAAAAGTTTATTTGGCTTACAGTTCAGCGTGTAATTCGCTGGCTCCAAGGCAGGGTGGCTTGGCAGAGGAGAAACAATTCATGGCAGGAAGAAAGTAGCAAAGCAACGAGGAAATCTTAATAGTGTATTTCTGCCCCTTTTATCCAAACTGCCAGGATTAGGGCGGTGCCAAACCAATCAGTGTAGTGGTTTAGTAATCACGCACCCTTAGTCCCAGCATCACACACTCTAGATTCACTCACCTCTGAAAAAGCTACCAATGACCACATTAAGCTTTGGGGGAACATCCAGACTCAAATCATTAACACTGAGTAACTTAACTCTCAAAATAAAAAGTGCTGGGGTCACAGCTTAGTGCAGAGGTCCTGGATTCAATCCCCAGTACTGACAAAAAGAAGAAGAAAAAAAAATGAAGTTATAGGATCAGCTAAGCTTGCGAAATACTAGATTGAAGTGTTTTTTGTTTTTTTTTGGTACCAGGAATTGAACCCAGGTCCTTGCGCTTATGAGGCAGGTGGCAGAACCACTGAGCTAAATCCCCAGCTGAAGTTTAATATTTTAAATAATGATAACTGGTTGGGGATTCCCATTATCATCCCCACATTTGGAGATTTATGAAGACTCATAGGACCCATCATGCACTTGTACTAAGCTTAGATTTAGAGTAGCACAAAAGAAAGCTGTGTGCAGGCTTCCTTATTCATTCTCCCTTCTCAGGAGGGGTTGCAAAGCTTATGATTATTTCTGCCAAGGGAAACTCATCAGAAACTCAGTATCTAAAATTTAACTGAGTAGTCACAGGAGCACATTCCAGTCTGGATAAGAAATTAATAAGGATTTTATTGCATCTATAGGTCATTTTGGAAAGTATTGTTCCTGTTTTAATACAGATAGTTCCCAACTTAGGATGGTTCCACTTACAATTTTTAGACTTTATGATGATATGAAAGCAGTGTGCACTCAGTAGAAAATGAACTTCACATTTTGGTCTCTTTTCCTGGGCTAGCTGTATGTGGTAAGGTAATATTTCATAATCCAAGGCAGCGAGTGACTGGTCCCAGTGAGCCACATGATTAATCATAAATGTAAACAGCTGGAACTCCACAGTGTATTTCATTGCTAAGCTGTGACATTTGGTAGGTGAGGAATATTAAATGCATTTTTAAACTTATTTTCAGTTTAAAATGGGTTTATGAGTATCTAATCCCATCATAAATCAAAAAAGCATCTGTACAGGTCTTCTGATCTCTGAACATCAGATGTTTTTCCATTTACTTTTAATTTTTTAAATGTTTTATAGTTTTCAGTATGCATGCCTTGGGTTTCTTTAAGTTTATTCATAAGTATTTTATTGGTGTTAATTGTTTTCTTTTTCTTTTTTGGTACCTGGGATCAAACTCGGGCCCTTGTGCTTGCAAGGCAGGTTCTGGAACCACTTAGCTAAATCCCCAGGCCTATTTGGTGTTAATTGTGAAGATAATTTTCTTAATTTTATTTACAGATTATTTATTGTAAGAATATTAAAATACAATTGATTTTTATGTATTGATCTTATGTCTTACAACCTTGCTGAACTCATTTATTAGTTATGGTAGTGTTACACTTTTCAAACGTTAAACTCACTTTGCATTCCTGGGAAAAGATCCACTTGATCGTGACATATAATCCCTTTTCTGTGTTGCTATATTTAGTTGTAATATTTTGTTGAGGCTTTTTGTTTCTGTATTCATAAGAGAAATTGGTTTGTAGTTTTTTTGTCATGACTGTCTGGTTTTGGTATCAGAGTTATACTGACCACATAGAGTGAGTGGCAGATCCCTTTTTATAAAAAGCAAATATAGGGACTAGCATTTCTACAGGATACATTCTATAAAACTATGATTGATGTTTGTCAATCAGAATTTTTTAGATTTTGTGGGGTTTTTTTGTTTGTTCTTTGTTACTGTGGATCAAACTCAGGTCCTTGCACTTGCAAGGCAGGCGCTGGAATCACTGAGCTAAATCCCCATTCCACCAGAATTCTTATTTAACCCAGCCAAAGAATAGGTTGGACTTAGTAATGAAATTACATTTCTTCTCATTAGAAACATGTCTTCTCATTAAATATAACAATAGTCATCAGTGTTTATTGCTATAAGAAGATTATATGACTTGTTTTAGACTTTTGGCTCTTTTTATTGTGGTAGGTTAGCGTGTAACACTACAATTTTATACTGTAGACTTCATAAATAAAAGGCATAGTATGCTAAAATGAAGAAATAATTGTTAATGTATTACATATAGGCAATTTAAACGAACTGGTTAAGCATGGTCTACGTGCCTTAAGAGAGACACTTCCTGCAGAGCAAGACCTGACTACTAAGGTAAATATCACATTTTCCAGTTGTGAATATTAACTTTACAATTTAATCTTTTACTGCATAAATATGAGTAATAGAAGAGTGTATATACTTATATTCTTTAATTTGGGGGGTGGTTGTCTTACTTATTTCCCTTAAAGCTATTCACTAAATGATCTGATTTCTAAATGTTTCTTTTTGATGTAGAGAAATAAAACTAGTAAATGTGGTATAGAATGTATTTCTCCCCCCTCCCCACTTCCGCCAAGAGAAATGAGTATGTTTGTATTCTTAATGTTTTAACAACTATGACTGTATTGAGCCTTACCATTGCCATATTCTAGGCATTTATAATATGGTGAGCACAACAAAGATCTTAGCCTTCCCTGAACATATATTCTGGTGAGAAGAGATAAGATAGTAAACACCTAAGTTAAGTATACAGGATAATAGGAGGTGATAAATGCGGTAGGAAAACCAGCTAACACTGAGAAGAATGACCAACTGGAAGCAAGAAGGTAGTGTAGCAGATGTAACTTAAAAAAGGACGAACAATGGTGTGTTCCCATGATCCCGCTACTCTTGAGGTAGAGGCAGGAGGATCACCAGAAGTTTGAGGCAAGCCTGGGCTACATATCGAAATCCTGTCTCAGATAAGAAAAGGCAAGATGACCAGAGAAGTAAGAGGGGAAAAAATGATGTGTCTTTGAAAGCAAATAAAACTTTCAACTAGAGCATTAGAAACTGCTAACAGATCAAGGAAGTTGGTTTGGCAGTAATGTCACTAAGGACTTGCCAAGACAGTCTTACTGGATGGTTCGAGGGAAAGCCTGATAGGAATGGAATCTGGAGAGAAAGGGAGAAGAGAAATTAGAGATAGCCCTTTGGAGATATTTTTGATGCAGGTCCAGAAAAATGGAGGGAGTGGTGGCTGGAAAAAGACACAGTGAAGATTTTTGTTATTTTGGTATTTTAAGATGGAAGAAATTATATTGTATCTGTTGTATGGTTCTGAAAAGTATTGAGTATGAAGGGAAGCATTCATGCAGAATAATGAGAAATAGCTTAGAGCACTATCCTTGAACACTGCACTGGTGGGAAGGTTGGCCTTAAGAGGAAAGTGGACTACTCAGTAATGAAAAAAAAAGAATCTAGAGACATAGGTACAGGAAAGAGTGGAGATACAGTGGGAGCTTATGAGTGTGCTCTTCCAGTTACTTCTCTTTTCTCGGTGAAATAGTACCAAGATTTTGAGCTTCAAGGAGAAAAGAATTAGGAGAGTTGTCTAATAGGGGAGATTGAAAGATGTAGAAACTGGAATGGTATAATCCAGAAAGAAGCCACTAAGCCCTCCTAGAGGCTAATAATTATAGTTAAAGTGATATTAATTGTCTTTATAAAGATTTTGTTACAGTCATTAGGTAATTACTATTTGACATCAATGTGAAGACTTTATACACTTCATGATCTTTTTTAAACAGTGTTGCTATAGCGTAGACCTTTAGGATTACTCATGATAACCAAAAGTGAATATTAAATCTATAACTGACAAGAGCTTACTAGTTTTCTTTTTCCTACATGTAAGTCGCTTTTAAATTCTTGAATTCAAATGCTCTATACATTTTTATTTTGTGATTTTCATCCATCATTTTATCATAAACATTTTTCTGACTTGAATAAATTTTCTTTAAAATTTTTTTTTAATTATTTTTACCATTTCCTCCCTCAGAATGTTTCCATTGGAATTGTTGGTAAAGACTTGGAGTTCACAATCTATGATGATGATGATGTGTCTCCATTCCTGGAAGGCCTTGAAGAAAGACCACAGAGAAAGGCACAGGTATATAATGGATCATAACACGAGAGACTTTAGCTCTGTCATAAGTGTTCCACTCACAACTGTGTAAATCCACCATTTTTATCTTTAATTATTGCTATGAGCTCATAACTTAAAATAGTGATAGAAAAATTGAGAACTGAATAAAGTAAAATATATAGGTATATGAAAAGCTAGCACAGCAGACATTTTTTCTCACAGTCCGTGGCTGATGGGGGCTCAGCTGAATGGTGTTTGTTTTCTGTTTGTTTTTTGGTACCAGAGATTAAACTCAGGTCCTTGCACTTGTGAAGCAGGCAGTGGAACACTGCGCCAAATCCCCATCCCTCAGCTGAATGGTACTTTTACCATTCTCACTTGGGATCTCACAGATGCTGCAGTTAGATGTGAAGTGGCACTAGAACATCCAAGATGACCACTTGTGCATCTTCTGCCCTCACCCTCTGGGTGCTGAGAGGGGCAGCAAGAAGGGTAGATCCTCTGATGGATGTCTAGACCTGTCTATGTATGTAGTCTGAGGCAGAGCCTCCCTGGTAGGGTGGTGACTCAGCTTGCAAAAAAGCTCACAAGTGCAAGCTGCCAGCCACTGGAACAGCATCATCTCTGTGCATTCTGTTGGTTAAAGGATGTCACAGGGCCTGCCCTGATCCTTTATGAGTGGGGACTGGGAGAAATGTTTGTTGGGAACCAACTTTGTACATGGTTAGCTCTTCATAAATGATGACAAAAGCATCAAGGAGTACTAGTTTTAAAAAAATTTTTAAAAACCAAAAGCATTGGTGAATCTTAGGTAAAATATGAATCTTTTTTAGAATATGCAGACTTGTAAAAGACACTGTTAGCTGGACTTGGTTGCACACACCAAGCCCAGCACTGGGGAGGCTTAAGTGGATTGCTGTAAAATTATGGAATTGTTCGATGATTTAGGGGTTTCAGAACTGAAATTTATATGTATTTTCAAGATAATACCAACGCTTTTTTCTCATTCTTTTTTTTTATAATATAATATTTGTGATTGGGAACATATATTGATCAAGTGTTCATTTTACATTGTTTTTTCCTCTTAAGCCTGCACAACCTGCTGATGAACCTGCAGAAAAAGCTGATGAACCAATGGAACATTAATAAGCCAGTCTCTATATGTATCATCAAATGTGTAAGAATGCAGGAACACATACTGATGAGAGTAATCTAAACTATGAACCAAAAGCTGCAGTGTTGAATGGTATGTCTTAGGAATCAGTCCACATGTCTTTTCCAACCAACCTCTCTGAAACCCTATAATGAGGTGCATTTTTCTTTAAGGGGGCCTGTGTAATCATTTTCTAAAAAGTATAGGTATACCATTGTTTTTATATGAAGAAAATAGTGTCTTTGCAGTTTTAAAGACAACTGTAAAATAAAAGTGTTTCACTTCCTGGTGTGTTGATTTTTTTTTGTTTGTTTTTTAAGTAGTTTCAACTATGAAAATTGAGATTACAGCTAGTCATTTGACATGTTTGCCAGATTATATTGCCTTGTTTTAAGCGTATGGGAAAGTATCTGTTACCTACTACTGTTACAGAAACTTTCCAGTGAATAAAATGACTGCATAAAAATCTATGGAGATTTGGTTCAGGATACAAATTTCACTATATAGATTTGGAGATTATTCTATTTAAAAACTAACAAACAGGGTCCTGGATTTAGCTCAGTGTGCCCTCCTTGTTTGATCCCTGGTATGGGGGGGGTACAAAAAAACCTGAAAAACCACAGCTTTCCAAAACTTGTAGTTAAGATTGCGGTGGGGGTGTAGTTCAGTAGTATGATGCGTGCTTAGTTCACCATAGGTGGATTCAATCCTTGGTACCAAAAAAGGAAAGAAAGTAGCAAGGTAATTAGCATTTGAACTGGTTTTTTGTTTGTTTTTTTCCTTGTCCAGCCAGCAGATGGCAGAAACTCACAATCTCAGATCTCTAGACACTCAGGAAAAACAAAAGGAACATTTAAATCTCAGCTCTTATTCTGCCCAGCTCCATCAAAACATAATCATATGCTGCCTCTGTTATTCCCATGAGCTGTATACTCAAGCATTGCAGAACAGTTTTTGTCTGAGATCATGCAAAATTACAGGAAATCATTTTTAAAAATCCAAAATTCTGGGCTGGGGATTTAGCTCTGTGCTGCTGCCGCATGCCTTGCAAGCGCAAGGACCCAAGTTTGATCTACGGTACCAAAAAAAATAAAAATCCAAAATTCTGATACAAGAAAGACTAAAGGGTTACTTTATTCTCTGAGATAGTATATCTTTTTAGAGAGGAGAGCCTTAAACATGGTAATCTAGAGTTTAGAGCTAATTCTTCTGATGAGCTTCTATTTATTAGCTTTGAACATGTACCCCTCTTAGGGAAACTTTTGGAAAATTGGATTCAGTGGGAGAATTTAAGACATTTGTAAATTGGAAAATTTATAAAATGTTTTTTCAGATTTCCCAAAATATGAAAAGCTTTGGTTATTAAAATCTGTTAATTCTTGAAGGGAAATGGGAAAAGAAACTCTAGCAGTCTTGAAGGAAAGACTTCTCAGTGCACATGGGAATGTGTGAGGTGTCTGTGTGCTTTGGTGGTAGTGTCAAGGATCTGCCATGTAAGCTTGTGAATAGGCCAGAAGAACCATGTGGCTGTTTGAACTATAATAAAATTGCATCAAGCACATAAAAAAGATAAAACCGAACAGAGAGACCTTTCCCTCTTCCCTCTGCACGGTGGCTGTGTACAGTGGGGAGGGAGCATCGTGGGCAGTTGGTGAGTCTGCTCAGGTGGGTCTCTTCCGCTCTGAGCCTTTCGCTGACTGAGCTGCTTTGCTGAGTGATTAAAATTACCATTTTTTTGTATGTATTCCCTAAATGTAAACTATTTGGCTGTAACTCAGCTGGGAGGAACAAAAAACCTTTGGGCACAATTTTAGAAGTTTTTGCAATATGTGGTTTAGTCTTGCATACTGACTTTATATTTCTTTCACCTTTTTAAAAAAGTTAATACATTTGTGACACATAATAAATACATTGTTGTCAATTGGTACTAGGCATACTGTATCTTAGTCCTTTTTATTCCCCTTTCCTCTCCCTTCTCCCTACATCCATAAATCCCATCTACAAAAGGTCTACCTCCATTTCCTACTGTCTTTTATTTTGCTCTATCAATTTTTTTACATTTTTTTCCCCTTTATGTTTTTGTTTGAGACAGGGTCTTGCTATGTAGTTGGGGCTGGCCTTGAACTCACTATTTAGCCCAGGTTGGCCTCAAATTTGCAGTGGTCCTTCTGCCTCAGTCTCCCAGGTGCTGAGATTACAGGTGTGTGCCACCATGCCTGGCTCTCAGTTGTCTATACTTTGGGTTTCTCTTTTTTTTCTTCAATTTTTAGTTTTTATTAGTACATTTTTTGAAGTATGCAAGGATCACATTCCTTTTGGAAAGTTGATACATGTATATATCACCTCTCATTTCTCTCTTTTTTTGGGGGGTGGTACTGGAGATTGAACTCAGGACCTTGCATGGCGCCACTAAACTAAATCCATGGCCCCCCAATTCTCCCTTCCCTTGCACCCTCTCTCCATCTCAGTCCCCTTCCCATCTGAAAAAGATGTCTCCTTATTTCCCATTGTCTATCTTGTATTTTGCTCTTCATGTACATTTTTATTTCAGGCTTCTCATATAACAAACCCTACACTATTTAAACGTCTGGTTTGTTTCACTTCATATTATGGTCTCAAGGTGTATCCGTTTTCCTCCAAATGACTTTTTTTCTTTATTGCAGAGTAGTACTCCATTGTGTATAAGTACCATATTTTTTTTTTTATCCATTCATCTGTTGGTGGACATACAGGCCTCTTCCAAGATTGAGCCATTATGAGATGTACTGCTGTAAAAATGAGTATACATGTATCAATAATACAGCTTTAACTTTTGAGAAGATACCTACAGGTGGCTGGAATGGAATTTCTAGTTTTAGTTTTTACTTTGGGTTTCTTATATAAGAGAAACCATGCCATATTTAATCTCTGATTTATTTCACTTGTCATGGTCTCAAGGTGCACCCATTTCCCTATGAATACGTCAGAGTTGCCATTTATGGTTGGTAGTACTCCACTGCACCCTACCCTGCTTTAGTACTTAAAATTCTCCCTGCCGCAATAAGACTCGACCTCATTCCCACGCTCATTGTGATGCCCTCTTTTCTCTAGTTTGTTATACTCTGTCCATTACTTCATTTAATCTGTGTTGAATAATTATAAACAAGATTCCTAGTGCCCTAATATATGCCTTTTCATATTTTAGTATTTACTAACTCAGAATTGTGATTAGACTAAAAGTTTAACACAGTGGGCTACTAAAGTGGATACAGTTAATCCTATGCCATACTGGCTATAAACTGCAGTTTTCTTATTGCTCAGTCTAATCTTTTTACTTTGGTCTCATTTCTTGCTGAGAGACTGTCACTTCTTGGTAATTAAGTAGGCTTAGAAACCAGATAACTATATTTGTGAAGTTTCCATGTTAAAAATGAATGCATGGAAAGCAACCCAATTCTGGGTCCCCTCCTGACTCAGGAGCTCTCTCCCTCAATAAAAAGTCTCTTAACCCCCCCACACACACAAAGAATGCATGGAAAGGAACGACCTGTTGGAGCATACATTTTGGATTGATCTCAGGAAATTATGCTGTGTAAAAGAAAGCCAATCTCAAAAGGCTACATTGTATAATTCCATTTATATAACATTGAAACGGCAAAAGTCACATACAGAAAGAACAGATCAGTAGTTGCCAGGGGTTGTAGAAGGAAGTGGCAGAAACTATGAAAGCATGAGGGGTTATTGTGAAGCAACTATTGTGTATCTTGATAAAATTGTCTACAAATAAATACATGTATGCCTATAAAACTAGTGAAATCTGAGTAGAATGAACTATATGTCAGTTTCCTGGATTTTACATTGTATCATAATTATGCAAGATGTTAACAGGTGAAGACATATAGGATCTCAGTAATCATGTCACCCTACAGCTATCCTGGTGTTTTGGTTTTTTTTTTTAAATAATTCACACAGGCCAGGAATTTAGCTCAGTGGCACCACGTCTGCCTCGAAAGCTCAAGATTCTGAGTTTGATCCCTGGTACAAAAAAAAAAAAAAAAAAAAAAAAAATTGCACAGCCCTACACGTGTCGGTCAGTAGGCATTGCCCAGGAAAAGGGAAAGTGTGTGGCCAGAGACTGGTACATGAAAGCTAATTAAAGCAGCGTCATAATAGCCCCAACCTGGAAGCTGGAACACCTATTCACATGAGGACTGGATAAACAACAGAATGTTATGCAGTGCAAAGGCATGAACAAGCATTATCAGGACAATGTGAATTGATCTCAAAGTAATTATGTTGAGCAAAAGAAGGAACAACAGAGTTTGTGCTGTGCAATTTTTATGCATAATTCTAGAAAATGCCAACTAGTTTATAGTAATAGGAAACGGACTGGTGTTTGCCCAGAAATGGGGCGCAAGGAGTGGATAAGAGGACACAATAATTACTTTTAGTAGTGATGGGTATAATATTTTGATTATGATGGTTATTTCATGGTTAAAGTTTCTCAAATTTTGTGCTCTAAATGTGGACGGTTATGGTGTGTCCACAACACTTAAGCAGACACAGAAAATCAAAGATAAAACACAAATGGACACCATCTCTGCTCATATTTTTAGTTTAATAGGGAAAAAAATCTTTACTGAAAAAACGCACAGAATTAGAGGCGCGCTCTTAAACTACTATAAGCGTGTGGCCTTCGAAGTGACAAACGTATCAGATCTCTGTATCCAAGATGTATTGCTTAATCCTTCAAGGGTCTGTCATTAATAGTAATTGACCAGAAAACGAGGTAGGGAGCAGAGGGTGGGATATGGAACTCCAAATGGGCAATAGAACTGTTAACTGGTCTTTGGAGATGGAAAAACTTCTTTAAAAATGACTTTTGCCCTTTAAACATAAAATGTTTAATCTACTTGGTGCTCGGAAAGGATGTCGAAAGGGACCATTGCTAAATAAAGAGCAGAAAGTGCACCCATGTAACGTTTGATATTCAAGCAACCGCAGCTCAACCACAAAGAGGCTCGAGAGAGATGGAGATGTTAAGAACTGAAATGTATCTTCGTATTAAAAGAACAGAAAAAAAAAACCAAAG